AGAATTATGTATATTAAGGGTTGAAAAATAGTAAGATTTCTTTCTATATTTTCCCAGTTTTGTAGATAATATATCATAAAGAAAAAGTATGTATGTTAAGAGCTGAAAAATTATTTTAAGTGTAAATTTGCTAGCTTCCCCGTTTTGTTAAACTACAAATAATAACCAGTAAAATCACTGAAAAATACATTATTTTACATTCTAACTGTATATGAATGAATGAAAACTTTACATTAAAAAATATTATTTGTAAAAATGATGTGACTGTAAAATTATACTCCTTTATTTTATGTAAGTCAGCTTTAAAAAAAAGGTAATTATTTTACAGATGTTTTTAATTATTTTGACAGTTTTTGCAGTTTTGACCACCGTTTAACATATTTTTAATTTTGTTTTTGTTTTAAAGGGATTTTTTTTATTGTATTTTCTACAGTGTAGCTTGAATTCCTCGTGTTTCTGTTTGACGCTTCAGGTTCTGACGTCTCTCACTTCTCTGTGCAGCTAAAACTGTTCTGCTCAGCACTGAGACAGGGATCGACCGATTATTGATGCTGATATTTTTTCGACTATTGGTATCGGTTTTTTTATTGGCCGAATATCGCGTAATAACAACAATGTGCTCCTCTGGCTCTGATTCAGCCGTTTCTCTCCATCTGTAGTCGTTCTCGATCAACCACAGTCCTCTGATTAACTGCTGTGAGTCAGAGCCAGTCACAGCCATTGTTTACACAGAGAGACAGAGAAGCACAATTAGCGAATCAGTGATTTAGCAGAGCTGTGTTTGGAAGGTGAGGCCGAAGAAACCGCTGAAGGTTTAGTAAACACAACAGTCTCCTGAAAGCATTCTTAGTGTTCATTCCCTTACAGCTGTTAACAGAGGGCGCAGCTGCAACTTATCCTGCTGACGTCCTGCTAAGAGGTCTGCTATACCTGTTAGCATGCTGCCAACGCTAGCTGGAGTACTGGGACATCCCATAAAGTCAGATAAACTTTAACAATCCGCTCCGACTGACAGAAACGAAAAGCAAAAACCACAACCTGCAGAACAAAAAGCAAAAACACCTCCACAAATCAGGACATGAGCCGCTTTCCCTGCAGCTAAGGCTATGCTAACAGGTAGCGGCTAAGTTAGCAGATAGATAGACAGATAGATAGATAGATAGATAGATAGATAGATAGATAGATAGATAGATAGATAGATAGATAGATAATGTACATGTATATTTCTAAAATTACACTATGGTTAAAAAAAAAAAAAAAAGAAACAGTCATCTAATGCATCTATTTTACAGATTATTTTCTGCCTTTTTTAAAGCACACACGTCAAACCCCTGATTTCAGAACCTTCTTCTACATTCTAGTCAAACCTCAACTTTTCCAAACACAGCAGCAGCTCTGAGCCCTGAAGTTCCCTCTGACGGCGTCAAAAACAAATGAAATTAAAAATATAAATCAGGAGCTGACGGAGAAACACACCCGTCCGTCCTGGAGGAAAACACAGTTTCAAACCAATAAAATCGTAGAAAAGTTTCCACGGCTCGGCGGAGTGGAGCTGATTGATGGACCAGAGCCTGAAGCCTGACGGTAAAAAAAAAATAAAATCATTTTCTGAAGTCGTAGCCGAACAAGAAGGAACTCGCAGCGAGAGGATTAGACTGAGGGGAGATTCCAGATACGTACAGCGACAACAAACCTCCGACTGTAATCACTTCACAAGACTTCTGTCAACGTGTTTGATTCTCAGGAGAAGAAGCGTCAAGGATGAAAACAAAAGAGAAAAACTAACAGGAGGCCAAAGTGCATCGATGTGACTTCAGAACAACAGATGAAGTGCCGACGAGCAAACACAAAGCAGAAACTTTCTAATAAAACATCGTCTCTCTAGGAATCGTCAGTTCCTTCCCTCCAGACAATGAGTTCAAATGTTCATTTATTCCATCTGCAACACAATCAGTCACATCTGAAGTCTGATGTTGCTGCAAAAACTAATTAATTACATCTGACGTTTGGAATTTTTAAACTTTTTGTTTCTGACAATAAAATTACAAAAAATAAATAAATTCAGATGTCAAAAGTAAAATAGAATAAATAAATAGAATAAAATGAATTTTATGTCATCAAAACTACAAATTTATTGAAAGTTGTCAAATATCACTTTTGTCTAATTCAATTAAATTCAGTTTAATACCGTTAATGCTTATTATATGGATGTGAAATGTTATTTTATATGTATATAGGTTTTTTTTTTGTTTTTTTTTTTTTCCCGGTTTTTTTTCTGTGTTTTTCAAACACAAAACTATGCATAAAATTACAAACAGGTCAGTAAATTCAGATGTTCAGTGTAAAGTAATTATACAAACTCGTAACCTTTGAAAGAAAATTTAGCTTATTTGACATCAAAAGTACAACTTTTGTGCAGTTTCACAAATATTTTAATTTCAATAAATACATCAAACTGTTAAATTCAGGTTTAATGCTGTATTTACTACATTAGATTTTTTTTTTTATAAACCGTAAACTTTTGTTTTTACAGTTTTTGTGTTTTTAAAATTTATAAAAATATCAATAAAATTACAAAAATAAACCAAAAAAAGTAGAAATGAAAAAGAAAATTTAGTTTCTTTGACATTAAAAACAAATATTTTATTTCTATTTATTAGATAATACTTTAAAACCCGGAATTATGAATATTTTTAGGAAGAAAATTAAATTTTTTTAAACAGTTCATGAAATTAAAACGACGATTTAAGCAAATTTCTCTTAATTTTGCTGAATTTTCCTTTTTTTTTTTTTTTTTTTTTAACAAGTTGCTGTTTGATTTGATTTATTAATTCATTCATTCCAAAACTGATAAATAATCCTCAGTTATGGCCTTTTAGTGACTAATTGATCATGTTTACAACTGCAGGAGCTAAGTTCGGGGCATATTTATTGTTTTTCTGATCAGACGCCGCCTGCTTTCAGGATAAACGGCAGATCAGTCATTTCTTCATGTGTCAGAATTACAAATGACTCTTGTTCTTTACATTTACTGCAGCGAGAACCTGGCGAGCTGCTGCCAAGTGGAGCATCGGCGTAAATCAGAGAGCCTCCCTGCTCTGACAGCAGCCACATAAACGACGCTGCAGGTTTGAATCACAGGAATGCTGCAGCCGAGGCTTCTGGGAAACGTCCAGACACACCTCGAGGTTCGTCAGCGGCAGTTTAAGGTCCTGTGATTACGAACAAAGTGCTGTTGCAACAGTGTGAATGCAGGAGCAGGGCGGAGCCGCTAACTGCCCCCCGGCCCATCGCAGGAACAAAACCAAAGCAGAAGTGGCTACTGTACGCGTTCCCGTGTGGAGGCCGAGGGGCGTGTCTGGACCTCCTCTGCATGTTCTCCTGCTCCGTGTTCCTCAGAATGAAGGAATGGCTCCACGTTCTGCCACTACATCACACCTTCAGTCTGAATCAGAGGCAACAAACCGCACTGAAGACAGTTCTGATCAAAGCAAACAAACATCACGTCTGTGCAGCTTTACAAGCTTCATTTGTTAGTTTCACATTTCCAGATTCATAAATGAAGCCTTGGTCACAACTTCAAGCTGTAGGTTTGTTTAAAACTATTTATTTCCACTGTTTTGTTGA